TAGGAAAATGGACTGATTCCTCAAAACTGCACAAACTACCAAAACTCAATCAAGATGAAGGAGACAATTTGAATAGCCTTATAACCGTCAAATCCAGAAAAGTAAAATTTGACAAACTGGTCCTCATCAAAAGTTAAATTGTGGACTTTCCTGGTGGTGCAGTGGATAAGGATCCACCTGCCAATGCCAGACAGTGGATAAGGATCCACCTGTTCAATCCCTGGTCCGGGAAGATTCCACTTGCCTCGGAGCAAATAAGCCTGTGAGCTGCAACGACTGAGCCCGCAGGCCACACCCGCTGAAGCCCACACATCAAAGAGCCTGGGCTCCCCCACGAGAGAGGCCTGCGCACCACGGCCGGAGAGCAGCCCCTGCTCACTGCAGGTAGAGAAAAGGAGACACAGCAACGCAGACCCAGCACAGCCAAAAAAAAAAAAAATCAATAAAAGTTAAATTTTTGTTTTGTGAAATATCGTGTAAAGAAGATGAAAAGATAAGCTACCCAACAGGTCCTTGTTGGTTATCCATCATGATTATAGCAGGGTATACGTGAGGTTCACAAGCTCCCTAACTATCCCTTCCACCTGCCAGCAACCATAAGTTTGTTTTCTAAGTCTATGAGCCTCTTTCTGTTTACGTGAAACTCCACATGTTTTGTGCCAGCCTGGATGGGAGGAGGGCGTGGGGGAGAATGGATCCGTGTGTATGGATGGCTGAGTCTCTTTGCTGTTCACCTAAAACTCCCGCAACATTGTTGACCGGCCATGTGTGCACGCTTCGTGGCTCAGTCATGTCCGACTCTTTGCGATTCTGTGGACTGTAGCCTGGCCTGTAACATGCGGAGGCTCTGCGGGGGAGATGGGAAGAAAACAGAGCAGGAAGGAAAATGTGTAGTAAGTCAGGAAGGCTCCCGGGTGCAGCGGGTGGGACGGGGTTTAACCCTGCGCAGCCCACTGCCACCCCAGCCTCCGCCCAGGCTCCTCCACGTCTCCCTTACGACGGGACACCCCGGGGCATCGGCCCTTGCCCTCCATCAGCTCTCCCTCCGTTGGTGACCGCAGCCTGTGGGTTGGGAGGCCTGGGTTTGATCCCTGGGTCAGGAAGATCCCCTGGAGAGGGAATGGCAACCCACTCCAGTATGCTTGCTGGAGAATTCCATTAACAGAGGAAACTGGTGGGCTACAGTCCATGGAGCTGTGAAGAGTCGGACGGGACTGAGCAACTTTCACTCTCCAGAATTCACATCTCCTGCCCAGATTTCTGTCCCAAACCCTGGCCCCCGGCACCCCATTGTGAACATGTCTAGCAGGTTCTCCCCATGTTAACCCTCATCTCGGGCAGCCACAGGGAGCAGCAACTTGAAGTGGGATCTCAGTTCCCTGGGAATCAAACACAGACCACGGCAGTGAGAGCGCCAGACCCTAACGGTTAGACCACCAGGAGCTAGTGGATAGCAGCAGGGCCCTGGCGCCTGCCTGCTTGAAGAAAGAACTCAGCAAAGAGACGAAAGCAGTGAGGCAGGGAAGCTATTTATTGTGGGAGAAGGTACCTGTAGAGAAAGCACAAGCAGACTGAGAGAGAGATGCACACTTTGGGGCGCTTTAAATCCCTCGACTGAAGAATTGACTGCTTTTGATCCAACCAGTCCGACGTAAAGGAAGTCAGTCCCGGATATTCTTTGGAAGGACTGATGCTGAAGCTGAAGCTCCAATCCTGTGGCCACCTGATGCGAAGAGCTGACTCATTGGAAAAGACTCTGATGCTGGGAAAGACTGAGGGCAGGAGGAGAAGGGGACGACAGAGGATGAGATGGTTGGATGGCATCACCGACTCAATGGACATGAGTTTGAGTAAACTCCGGGAATTGGTGATG